CCCCATTCCCATTTAAAAAAATTTGGGGGATGGCACCCCCACTTAGGGGGTTGAAGATTTTGCTATGCTTTTTGCGCCAAAAGTTGTCCCCCTCAGAAGCAAACTTTACCTGTTTTTGGATTTTGCCGAAAAGTTCATTACTACCCTGTAATGCCTTGCGGTACGTTTTCGATGGGCTACCCTGTATACCCTTTCTTCACCATATTACTTCTTTTATTAGACAGTTTGGTAAATTAAGACTCAGTGAAAGACGCTATGTTCATTTTTGTGGTTTTGTAAATAATATACTGTGTAATACAACTTCTGACTATCTTTATGAGAAGTTGGTTTGGCGACATAATGTACATGATCGTCAGCTTCGTAATTTACATGATTTGCAAATAATGCGTCATCGAACTGAGTATTGTAGATGTTCATTTGCCTATTTAGCAGCTATGGTATTAAATAATGTACTGGTGCCTTAGGACTTAACACTCCGTAATGCACCTCTGATTAAGAAACGCATTCGTGAGTTGGTCATGGAAAACGATAACTCCACAAATGCTGCTGTTTTGTATTAATATAATATGGGTGTGTGTTGAGTGGGTGTCTGACTATACTACGTATTTGTATGTGTATTGCACAAGCATGTATGAGTGTTGTGTATGTATATTTATAAATTATATTGTTTTTTTACACTGTATTAATAACACTTTATAATCATATTGCTTTTAATATCTGTACGTTAATTGACTTTCTGAGGGGTAGGCTAATTATCAGTTATTTGTGTCTAGTCCTTTTGTGTATAGGTTGTATATTGCCATTGTAACTATGCACAATTAATATTTTTTACCTTACCTTACATGGTGTGTGTTGATTCTTATTAAAACTTATTCTGGATACACCTTTCGAACGATGTGTTATTATTGGCATACACCATATATCACTTTAAACCATGCATTTTAATTCACATCAGAGAAATTCCCATTATACAGGTGCGCTCCAAATTAAACAGGACTTTTTAAAAATAAGAACAACAAAAAGTTATTTTGGCAAAAACGATTTATTTTATTCAAAACAGTTTCCTTCTGACTCAATACAGTGATTTACACGGTCTAAAGGCTTGTCAAATAAGTGTTTTAGATCGTCGATGAGATGTCCTTCAGGATGTAGGTACAAGCCTTTTAGATGGTTTCTACGCCCACAAAACGCTTTCCTTTCATGGGCAAATGCATTATTCCGAAAAGGTAAAACTCGCACGATGCCAAATCAGGTGAATACGGGGAGTGGTTGACAGTGAAAATGCGATTTTTAATTGAAAAAATCGGTCCTTCTGCGCGATATTCTGGCCGAATACGACGAATACGATCGACCAAACGCTTCAAAACGTCAAGATATAATAGTGGATAAATGATTTGACCCGATGGACCGAACTCTTGGTGAACAATGCCCTTGGAATCGTAAAAGCAAATCAACATAACTTCACTTTTGACTTTTTGGGTTTTGGCTCGTCTGACGCCTCCCACTTGATACTTTAGTACTTGGTTTCTGGATCATATTGAGAACACGCGCGTTTCATCACCAATCGCAATGTTGTAAAGGAAGTTTTTGTCTTATTTGATGGCCTCCTTGATGCTGTCCTTCGAATGTTGAATTCTGAGAAATTTTTGGTCGTCAATCAACTTGTACAGAGCAGACAGTGCACACACTTTTTCGGAAGCCCAAATGTAAGGTCAAAATGCGATAATTTGATGTTTTTGAGATGCTCAAATTCAATTCCATGAATTTCAATGAAGATTTTAGCTGATCTTTGATGAATTCGCGCACAGTTTTTATGAAATCTGCGGTGGTCACGGATTTCCGTTGTTGCTCATTACGGATGTTCTCACGACCATTTTTAAACCGTCCAAATGTCATGAAATTTTAACAGTACATCGGTGAAGGATCTACCTTTCCGACGCAACAAAAAGCCTAACCAGAAATGCCTATTTTTAAAAAGTCCTGTTTACTTTGGAACGCGCCTTATACATAAATAAGAAACAGCTAATATAAATAATTAATGCAAGATTTCCAAAAGAAGAAATTTATAATTTGTTATTTCTACATAAATAAAGAATCAGGCACATAAAGTCATAATAGGTAGGTACTCTATTTATTTAATTTTTTTTTCACAGAAGTAAAACAATGTCAGTTTTACTTAATTTTTGAGCGTAATACAAATTTCACTATAAGGAAAAAAGAAAACAGTACAAAATATTACTGTTTAACTTAATGCCAAAACTAAGACGAAATTGTAACTATAATGAAAGTACTAAGATAAATGGGAATAGGCTATGGTTTATTTCTTTATGGTAGGTTGAATTTAAAATTTACTCTTTGATCAGTTCATTCTCGGATAGTGGGAAAGTGGGTAAAACCAATTAAGAAACCACGACAAATGTTGGATATACAAGATGTTTTTATTATTTGAGGTCTATCATTAAAAATTAGAGAAGATAATTTAAGAGTACATAACATATCGTCACACTTTGTAACATTGAATGGTAATCTATTTTCTAGTTATGCTATTGCAAATATTAAATAATAATGATCTAACAAGGGAATCAAGATAATAAGGGGCTAGAAATTCAATAGATTTAAAATCCCTATATATTGGCTTCTACTTGTTAAATATGATATCGTTATATGCCGCGTATATTTTGTTGATGTACCGTTTGTATACAGGGTCTCCCACATAAAACCTGAACATTTCGTTTAACATGAAGATTTGAAACATTTCCAGAAACACGTGGATTTTCAATTTGAGGGGGACATCAACATTATATCATTACTTATTTTGTAGTTGCCAGTAGATCGATGTATGAACTTTGAAATTTAAAATGGCACTACAGGGCGTGTGATACGTTGTTTGAAAGCTCTTTTGACACTGACTTTGAATCCGTAAAAAAAAATTTAAAAAATCGTTATTCGTTTTCAAGAAAAAAACATTGAAATTAAATTTTTGAAATTTTGTATTTTTACATCAAAAATTATTTTATTTTAATTTATAGTATGTATTAACCCGTGAAAAGGTTTTCATACATCAAAACATTAGTTATTATTAAACTGCAAAAAAGTTTCTACTTCAGATGATAAAAACAATAATAAACGAAACGTAAAGAAGTTCTTATCATAATTTTTTATGAATTCTCTTGCACTCCATTCCATTTTACCTTTTTGTTTGATATCATTTTATCGGAAATGTGTTACTGTCGAAACCATTTTCAATTGTATCAAATCTCATATTTGGTTTACAATCAAAATGTAACTGTTACATTTATCAATTTTTCATTATGGAAAACAAAATGAATGTGCTAGAGAAACTGCTCGAATTTTCAATGTGTTGCATCCTGATCACCAAACAAGTCATACGTACGTGAGCCAGATTGTTAAGAAATTTGGACAAACTGGGTCCGTAGCAAATCTTAAGAAAACCAATCCTCCTAACGAATTAATGGAAGTAGAAATTTTTGGGCGAACTTGACAATGAATCCACACCAATCCGTGCGATCGTTAGAGCGTACTACAGGGATCTCCAAGTCGAACGTTCATAGGATTTTGCAAAAAAATAAATGGCATCCGTACAAAATACATCTTGTGCATTGTTTGAACGAGGATCGAAGAATAAAATTTTCTGATATCATGTCTAACAGAATTACGTAAATCAAAATATACTTTACAATATCTGCTTCAGTGATGAGTGTACGTTTTTTCTCAATGGTACAGTGAATAGGCATAATATTCGTTACTGGTCGGATGAAAACCCTCATTGTGTTAGGGAATCGCACACTCAGTATCCAGAAAAGCTGAACGTCTGGGCATTAATATTGGATAATCACATAGTTGGTCCATTTTTTTTAGATGGCACTTTGACTGGGGCCAGCAATTTACGTTTGTTGAAAGATCATATTGATCCCATGATTACAGAAATTCTGGAGAAGGATAATCAGCTGGATGAAAATCTTGTGACGTTCCAATAAGACGGAGCTCCACCCCATTTCGAGCGACGAGTTCGGGCTTATTTGGATCAGAATTTTCCAGGACGATGGATAGGTTTTTTTTCTGGGGAGATCTCAAATCAGTGGTTTTTTCAAGTCAACCCGAAAATCTTGAAGATTTAAGACAACGTACTGTAAATGAATGTCGGAATTTAACCACAGAAGATAAAACAACCAGAATTATATCTCGTTGTCGGCACCTTTGATCACTGATGTCTGTTTTCAGGGACCTTGAATGACGTAAATCCCCCACTTTTGCTATACAATGTCAGGATTGTATTCAGTGAAATTTTATTGCGCTAAACAGAGATGTACTAACAAAAAAGCCAGGAATTTATGTGCATCAGAAAATGAGGTTAATCATGCAAAAGACTTGGTTATTTACGTGAAAAAGTCTTTTAAAGGCGAATTTTAGATTTATTTTAATTTTAAGTTAATCCACTCTATTAATGAAATTATTCAATGTTAAAAATATTTATATAGTTAATATCAAACTACTGAATAATTACATGTTCAATATTTATTAACATAAATTTATAAGTACAAGGTAAAAAATGAAAAGAATTGCGTAAACAAACATTTGTGTAATATACAAATATATCTATCAGTACATAAATATACAGGGTGTCCCGTTCATGTTTCAAAAAAACTTGTGTGTAAGTTCCTCTTGGTAAAATAATGGGGGTAGTTCATGTAACGTTTTTTTCTTACACGCCCTGTTTTCGAGATACAGTGTGTTGAAGTTGTTACTTTCCAAATGGTTCTTGGTTAATTATCCTTAAATAGGCTAAAGATAAAAATGTAAAAATTTGTACACGAGTAAACATCAACTGTGCGTTAAGAATAATGTGCAAACGGTTTCTTTTTGAAAAGGGGTACAATAAAAAAAAATATGTTAAAAATCAAAATTTATTACATTTTTAAACGGTTCGGTAAACTCTAAAGCATACTACAAAAAAAGGTATATTTGTCGAAATTCGGTAGCATGTACTTACCATTTTCGAGAAAAATTAAGTTGCATTTTTTTTGCTCACATAAAGTGGCATAACAAAATATTAAATTGAAAGAGGACTTTACCATTGAATGGGTTGAAGACATTTAGCTACCAACAGTATTTGCATTTAAGACTATAATTTTAATTTCTTACGAATCACATTAAACAGTTACATTGTAAAACATATTATTAATTAAAAAAAAACTAAATTTATTTTGAGTTTTAGATTGTTGTAAACTAACATTTAAAAAAGTAAATCAAAATCAGGAAACGCCATATTTCCTTTCAACACCACAATTCATAGTTTTTATATTGTCTTTTATTTTCTAATACTTAATTTGCCCTTAATTTTACAGTACCTTATAGAATAATACACTCGAACAATCATTTATTTACACAACATAATAAATCACGTAAAACGACGCCAATACTCAACGCGCGGAATAACAAACGACAAACAGGTTCATAAAATGGCTAAAATGAAAATGCTTTTGTAACTACGCCACTTTGTTCCCATACCAAAAGTGGGGGGTGCGTTCACCGATCTGCGCGAATACCCCCACCACGCCAACTTATAATTCTGGTTGTTTTATCTTCTGTGAATTAACTCCAGAGGTTTTTGCAAATGTAAGGAGATGTTTCGTAGACAGACTTCATATTTGCCAAGAACAACTGGGTGCACAATTTGAGCATCTATTATAAACAATTTTAACTGCAAAAATACAAAGTTCCAAATATTTAAATTCAATGTTTTTTTCTTGAAAACGAATGATTTTAAAATTTTTTTACGGATTCAGTCAGTATCAAAAGAGTTTTCAAACAATGTATCACGCCCTGTAGTGCCATTTGAAATTTCAAAGTTGATACCTCGGTCTACGAAGGGGTGGCAACTACAAAATAAGTAATGATGTAAGTCGATGCCCCCTCAAATTGAAAATCGACGTATTTTTTAAAGTTTTTCAAAACTTCGTATTAAACGAAATGTTCAGGTGGAAAGTTTTATATGGAACACCTAGTACACAGCTTTGGCTAATATATGACAAATGACAACGGTCTTTCGAATGTACTGATATGCAACATCCACACGATACTGCATTTGTTTACGTTTGAGAAATATTTGGCAAATGACTGCATCATTTGTAGCCGGCTTAGGGGAAGTTACGGACGACGTCGACGCGTCATAAAAGCTGTCGTGTGATTTCGGTTTTCACCAATATACGTTACATTTTTGTGTTTTAAATAACTGGTCTTTACAGTAGTACTAATTTATTGATACAGTTTTAATATGTAATTCCACGGTGAACTGTTAATACTGTTTAAATATGTGGAATTGTATTATTTACCTAACATATCAAATTGTTTGTAATTAAGAATATAGAAAGGTTTTTTTTCTGTTTTATAGAGGGAAAAGCTCTTGCTGTGGCTAGAGATTGCAAATTCATTGAAACTTCCAGCGGCATCCAGCACAATGTGGACGAACTTCTTGTGGGAATTTTGAAACAAATTCGACTCCGTGAGTCACGGGAGAAGAAAAAATCTAACCTGAAGAAGGAGAACAATAAACTCCACGGATCTAAAACTAGTTTAAGTTTAAACATAGCTAGGGAGATTCTTCAAAAGATATGCATGAACGACATAAGCAAATCAAAGTCTTGTGAAAACTTACACGTTTTATAAACTGTTTAGTAAACTTACGCAAATAACTATTTTTCTATTGGAGTATCTACGGAATTTAGAATTTCTATATTAAAGTAGTCAAATCTTGTATATAATACTTAACGAACTGACTTTTCGATATATAGTAAACCTGTTTGTTATTTACTTGTTCCTCATACTTCTACTAAGTTAATTTTGAGAAATAGAAGCTTCATACATATATTCTAATTGATAATATATAAAACAACTAATTATCTTAGAAGTTGCGTTTTTATAAATCATCTATTTTAATGGTTGTTGTTTTCTTATTTCTCTCTTATCCTGTTTTATTTACCGAAATCTTTTTTAAATACAATTTCCCATTTACGATTATTATCTAATATCTATGAAGTTTCTGTATCTCGAAATTTAATTATTATTATAATTATAAATTTACATAAGTACATATGTGGACAAATTTTAATAGTAGATCGTTTATATTAATGTATACATGTCATTTGAGGCTAACTTTTATCGTAATGTAAATTTTGTGGAATGGAATTAATTTAGATATACCTATTTATTGTGATATTTAAGTGAGTTCTACGAATTAATTAACTTCTGGTTAAAATGGCAAATTAAATAAAACGGATAATCAGATAAAAAACAAGGATTATAAAACATGGGTTAGATACGTACATAAGTGCAAATCATCGGAAAAAAATGTGCGAAAAATATAATTTTAGTTTATCCCTATACAGTAATTCGATATCTTTTTTGAAATATTGAAACAAGAATGTTATCTTGTTAACTTTTTGGTGTGGAAATACTATTTTTATTCATGTCGATTATGCATTTATACAGGGTGTTTGTAAATAAGTGCGAAATATTTTAGGGGGTGGTTGCCGAAGTTATTTTGTGAAAAAAGGTTCATATAAACGTAGCTCGAAATATGCTTCGTTTCCGATACAAAGTGTTTAAATGTTTTATTTATTTTTATTAATTATTTCAGAGTTTTAAAGATATTGACCCGAAATTTGAAAAATGCTTTGAAGGGTTTTCCTCAAAAAACGATGCATCCTACGAAAAAAATTGAAGAGACCAATAATTTCTTTCAGAATTGATGGGTGGGGATTTCTGAAAAAATATCAAAACGAGAAAAAGTCAGTAACGTACCATTTTATTATTGATAAAGGTTATGACATTCTCGGACGAACGCCACTGGTGCAAGTAGAAATATTCGGATCACCCCAAAAATGCACATTTCCCTCCAAAACGTTTTTGAAATTTCGAGTCAATATCTTTAAAACTCTGAAATAATTAATAAAAATAAATAAAAAAATAAAATTTAAACACTGTATTATATTTCGCATTAAGCATGTTTTGACGTACTATGAACTTTTTTTCACAAAATAACTTCGGCAACCACTCCCTAAAATATTTCGCACTTATCTACAAACACCCTGTATAAATATCAAACTCTCAGTCAAAAATAAACATGTAAAATATAAAGCCAGATTTAAAATATTCAGGAGGAACATTCGGATAATAATTGAGAGAAAAGTCGTCGAATTAAACAAGAGAAATTTGACATACCTAAAGCTTAGATTAGAATTATTTTATTTTATGGGGGCTGTCCAATGTCCCTAACAAGTATTTAGGTATTCACAACTAAAAATTATTCTTTATATTAATTGTGTCTTTGCATACCTATAAGTATATTTTTTGTTGCATGGGCCAGTGTACAGTGCATCTACTACTTTCAACATGATGCTAAGGTAGGTATCTCAATTATTATCAAAGTTAAAAATATTCTTGAGGAATCGTCATATCAAAACAGATTTTTTATTAATTCTTATGCTAATTAATTACGTGGAAAAACGTGAAGAAGTCCTATCTTAATGACAAATAAGAACTGAAGTTGTAAGAAAACTATATCAGCATACATATTATTTACTTTCGATTAAATAACTACGTAATATTTGCCTGGCGCCAGGTAACTCTATGAGAAACAACTATCCAATTTTTAAATAAGTTTGTATACGAACAAGACTGCAGAGCTAGAGAAATACTTCTTTGACAAAGTATTTTAAATATAAATTAGTATTTAAAATAGTATTTTAAGTATGCCGAATATTAAATATATTGAAAATATTCATTAACAGTTTTTAAAGTACTTTTGTGAAATATTAAACCTGAAACTCTTAAGATGTGACTTAAAAAATGTATTGTATAGTTTTTCCGATATCAATTGAAGGTTCGGTCGCTGACGCAGCAACTCGCCGCGGCATTGAAATATTTGAAAAACTTGTTCCCATGTTTATTTATCCCTATCCATATACAGGTGGTAGAAATGTATATGCCCAGTTGAAGAATGCGAGCATGGGCAAACAAATACAAATACAGTTGCATTGGCCTACTGGGCAATAAATCTCAACAGTTGACAAGTGGTCGACAAATTGCCCATCAGTGCAGTGCAGCAATACGGAATTTGGTGTGATTCAGGTAATTTTAATTTATTATAGGCACCTTCTATTAATTATTGATATTACAATTGCGAAATGAAGAAATAATATTATTACAACATAGCATTTTGGAGATCTTTTGAAACGCAACAAAACGAAATTTACCACCAATATAATAAAATTGTTTGAGGACATAATAATTAAAATATGTTGTTGGCCAAATAAACATATAATAGAAATTTCCTGCTCATTAAGTATATACAAATTATTATAATTTTTTACCTTTATCAGAAAACTTTTTTAGAGACGCCTATGAAACTCATTAAATTTTATTGCCAGGCGTTTTTTACACGTTCAACTGACTTCGGAAAGACTATACCTACGTGCAAGGCAAGCCCGATTTCAAGATCAGAAAATTAAAAAAAAATAGGCATGAGTTTGGAAACAATCATTTTCATTTGGATTACTGAGATGGAGAATATTTAATTCACATATAATTGTTCATTAGTTTTTCTCAGAATATACCACTACTAATAAAAAAAAAATAATTTTTAATTTTGATGATTGACTATCGACTTAACTAGTGATAATAGTGACCTAAAAGGTTGTAGACAGAATGGCAATAACACAACGCACATTGCAGAATGCAGACTAGAATGCGCTAAATCCAGACGTATAGGTGCGTAATTTTTTGTACTAATGTTGTACCAGTCGCGTCGTAAAAAGCAAAAAATATTTGTTTTTGGTAGGTATTTTGGGTATTTTAAATATTTCCGAGTATTTAAATTACTTTTAGAAGATTTTAAATACTTTTTAAAATACAAAATATTTTATTATATTTAAAATACTATTTTGTCAAAATGCTCCTAGGTCTCTGCAAGAATGGCATCAAATAATGTTTAAATAGTGTATTTGTTCTTAATCAGTCAGTTCCATTTTTTTTAATAAAAAAAAGAAATTGCTATAACTTGTTTATTTTTCTTATAAACTATAAACGTTTTGCAAACTCAATACCAAGAAAATTTTTAAAAAATTACCTTAAGAATCTTCCCGAAACACAACACAATTTTCTTTTATTTTTTTAAATAATCGAGATACTATTTTATGAAAGTGGTCAGCGTCGTAGCTAGGGGTTGGCCGCAGGGGGCAGCTGCCAAGGGTGCAAACCTCAAGGGGGCGCACTCGCAGTGATCGGATCGTTTCTCTTCCTACAAAATAAGTTTTGGTGGGGGCGCAAAATTCAAATCTTGCCCTGGGCGCCCATGACCTTAGCTACCACACTGCCCATGTTGTGAATATACTATATTTACACCATCGATGCACTGTATGATTAGACAGCTTAATTCCAGTTTTTTGTTTTTCTTGTTATTTTTCATTATTTGCCCTTCCTCATATATTCGAGCCCCTTCTAGTTACGTGCCTGACTGATTATTCCAGTTATAATAAAATAAAAATAATACTGTAGAATTTACACCTATAAATAGTGAAATAAAAAGTACCTAACGCATTTAACACTTATTTTATATTACCTACAAAATCTAGTACACAGTATAAAAATTTTAAGATTTGCCAATTATCTAAAGTTTGGCTTTACTTGTGCTAACCGTTTAAATGTTCATAAAATATTTATAACCATAGGTACTGGGTATAATATATTAAAATATTTAATACAGTATTATATTCTGTACAATGTGTTATGCAAATAATATCTTAAGTAACATTAAACAGATTCCACTTGAAGTAGTACCGATTACAACTCCGTTTCATTCAATTAGTGCCTTTAAGACACAGAAGTTTACTTAAAAGTAGTTTACTTAATTTATTGGTAGCACATTGTACATGATAAAATAATACTTTATGATTTGGTAAAGATCTTTAAATAGTTTTAAGAATGATCATATTTGATGATTCGTCCCAGGTAGTTAAGGCCTAAGTAATTTAAGTCAAATAATCGCGTGTTTCATTTAATCTCTAAAGACTGTACCTACTTTTTAAATATTTTAAAGTTACTGCTGTCAGCTGTTGAGAAAAAAATCTATGTCTACCTATTAGCAGAATATGGAAACGGTTCCTTTTTCATACTGTAGAAAATGATTTAAGTAAAGGTGAAAAAATTCAATAATTTATTGGCAGAATGGGTGAATATTAGTAAAGCTTCCATCTACTTTACGATTTTTTCATATTTTTATTCTTATTATTCTGCTACTGTCTTCACTCTATCATAAAATCTTCCTATATTTCCCAATCGAAGTATTTTACTTAACATATATTTAATGTTTTATACAGTTTTTTTATACTAAAACTTTATATTCTCCAACATAATCTTTGTTAATATAAATAATATTTAAATCTAGCACTATAATTGTGATAGACATAGGTAGGTACACATACATTCAATTTTAGTCTAAGTATATGAAAAGACTTTTAATGTAGTTAAGCTTCAATGTAGGGCAGAAATATGTAAAAGCTGCCAAAATTAACTTTGGTTTGTAAAAACTTTTGAATGGTGTACTTAAAACATATAAATGAAATAAAATATTATCCTGGTATTCACTGAAAAAGAATGTTTGTTGTTAA